TAAGTTGATAACAAATGGAAAACTTTTTTATTATTTATTTTACGAAAAAAAGTTATTCTTTATAAAAATGTATGCATGGTCTAACAGAAAATGCAACCACCCGATAGCAAATTTTATCAGTCGGTTTTACAAGGTTTGTCAAAAAATATAATTTTGCTCTCAAGATAAAATACCTTTATTTTCGACAAACCCTGTATACGACTGATAAAATTTGATATCAGATAATTGAAATTTAGGTTTTAGACCATGCATAACTTTTTATGTAAAGTAACTTTTTTTCTAAAATTAATAGACCATGCAATTGTTTATAAAAAATAAGTTTTTTTTTTTTTATTTTTAAAAAGGTTTTCCGTATGCCGATGCCGCCAACTTACATATAAATGAGATTAAATTTTTTGAAAATAATTTTTACTGATGCAGATCTAAATAAAGTATTGTTGGTAAATAAGGTACATTTTTATTTGGTTCTTTGGCTGTAAGACCTTTCGGTATATACATGGTATTCCATTAAGAATGGGAGCAACTGAAGATTAATTGATTAGAAATAAGCCAATTAAACGAAACATCCGTAGGTAAAACATTACTTGTTTCCGAAAAACAGAGTTTTAAAGTTGAAAATCAAAAATTATAAATAGCTACAATTTTTTTATTACTCAGTTTAATTTTACTAAATTCGGCAAACGTTATTGGTGTAATAAAATACATCTATCAGCAAAAAATAAGTTTAATAAGCTTTGCCAGTGGCGTACGTCATGGGCCAGTAACATCTTCTTTCCTTCTAAATTTTAGTCCACTGTCCACTTCTGATGTTTTTTAAATAAAGTTGAGTTAGTTTTTGAGATATTCGCACATATTAGAAAATTCTGAAGTTTTTAAATTTAGATTTTTTTTTATTAAATTTCTAAGATTACATTATTTATTTTAAAAACATCAAAAAATTTAAAATTTTATGTCCAAATAACATTTTGGATAGTGACGTAAAATTTAAGAGGTATGCGGTATTACGTACGAATGCTGTACGCCACTGGAAAAGTTAATTAAGGTAACTTATTTTTTTGCTGATAGGTGGATAATTTGACACCAAAAACGTTTGCCAAATTTAGTAAAATTGTTGTGAGTAATAAAAAAAATAAAGCCATAAATATTTTTTGGATTTTAACACCTTAACTCGGTACCGAGAAACATTTTATCTAAGCATGATTTGTTTACTTGTCTTATTTTTAATCAGAGAATCGTCAGTTGTTCTATGTCCCATTCTTAACGAAACACTATGTATAGTAGGTATAAGTGATCCCTACGTAATGATACGAAGACAGTTGTCCTTTGTTAACTGGACACAAGAAAGAACTACTAAATAAATATACCGACGTGCCGAATCTAATGCAAAAGTTTTATTTTTATACCTGTTTCATCGAAAATATTTGTCAAGGTCAAGAACTCGTTTTGTTATTATCGCGTAGTAGCTAGGGGTGATGAATTTGTTAGGTATTTTATAACAGTTACCGTTTAGAACTAATAAAATTATTACGCCATCTGTTGAACAAAAGAACTATTAAATATGGAATATTGCTCCATCTGCTGAACAAAAGGATTCTTAATTTATGACACATAAATGACATCTATCAAAATTAGTTCATGTTACGAATATTGGGGGTGGTACTGTGGTCTTAATGCGTTGAAAACCATCTATAAACATTGTTAGTTAGTAAACTGACTTTTCTTCATAATTTGAGATTATTTTTAAATATATATCAGGTTATGTAGAAAGCTTGACATTGATTTTTGTGTAAAAAAATGTATATGAAATTTTACCTACCATTTTCAGTTTTTATTCTAAATTTAATCATTTTCACAATTTGCCACATGTTAAATGAAATAATATATTTTATTGGCATACAACAAGTGAACTAAAAGGTGTATTTTATAATACATAATAAATATTACACAGATACAAACTAGAATGAAGATATATAATGCGTGGCATTCTAAAATTATAATTTTCACAGTTTAACAGACCCCCTCAACCCCAATTTTCAATAAGATTTTTTCAGAATCAATAGGCTTCATCAAATTTTTGGAAAAATCAAGCTCTACAAGCTTGATTTTTCCAAAAATTTAAAGTTGATATTGTTTGTTTTTGAGTTAGATTTATTTTAAATATTTCAACCCCCCCTTAAACCCCCTCCCCCCCCACTAAAAATTTCGTGTTGATATCGCTTTTAATTTTTGATTTGATTTTTTTTTTTTTTTTTAATTTCAACCCCCCTTAAACGTCCATTTTTAATCAGATTTTTTTTTTTTAATCAAAGGGCTTCTTATAAAGCTTGATGTTTGCTAAAAATTTCAAGTTAATATCATTTTTTGTTTTTGAGTTAATATTTTTTTTATATTTTAATCCTCCTTAACCCCCAAATTTATTGATTTTTTCAGAATCAATAGGCTTTATCTCTTCTTATAGAGTTTCTTTTTTACTAAACATTTCATGTTGATATCACTTTTCGTTTTTAATTAGGATTTTTTTCAAAAACAATAGGTTTTGTCCCCTTATAGAGCTTGTTTTTTGCTTAAAATTATCAAGTTATCATTTTTCGATTTTGACTTATTAAAGCGAAAGTTTGGATGGATGTTTGTTACTCAATCACGCAAGAACGGCTAAACGGATCTGGATGAAATTTGGCATAAAGATAGATTATAGTCTGGAATAGCACATATGCTACTTTTTATACCGGAAAAATATACGGTTCCCGTGGGATAGATTTGTTTTTCACAGACATGATTTTTTGGATAGTGGTAGTGAAACATAAAAATTTGAAATACAGCTATTGAGCATAAATAAATAATTACGTGTTTCAGTATTTTTGGATTTTCACATTTTAAGAGGGAGAACGGGAGTTAAAAGTTTCTATGGAAGTATCGATTTTTTTTAAAGGAAGGAACTTTAAAATTGCAATTATAATAATAATAATAATAATATTCTTCCTAATTCACCCCCTTACGAGTGAATTTCAACCCCTGAAGTCGACTGAACGACTTGTGTAGGGGAAGGGACGGCTATTATTATTATTTGCCGTAGCGCTTCGGGGCCACTTAAAGATGATTGATGGTGCCATTTGACTTACAGGTGAGGAAAACCTCACCCACCAAATTTTCTATGACATACCTCCTAAATGCCTCTATAAATAGTACGACTAATGTGAGAGTTAAAAAGTGTTGTTTAATGTTCAACTTGTAAGTTTATTAATCATTGAACATAGTATTATCTTTTTTTAAAGACAGCTTATATTGTGACATCACTATACATAGTATAGAATACCCCTGAAAAGGTCTCGATGAGCCGATTTTAAAAATATAACCTTTATAAAACCACTATGTCGATATAGTTTACCTCCCAGGTAGATATCCATAAATATTTAATTTATTCTTCATGATATAGGTACATACCTAACATAGACACAACTATTAAGTTTCTTGAATTAATTTAGGCCAGTGCAATATTTATATTTTATATTGTCTTTAAAAAAACTAATGTAAGTTTATAAAATCCTCAGTGCTATATGAGTCTGACACTGTTTATCAGTACCTCTAGCATTTATGATAGGGCATTTTCTATAACTTTAAATGCATTAGGGACAACCTACAAAATAAACAATTATTCATATGAAATTGTACTACGGTCAAAAAATTATCCTTGTTTAAGGGTCGATCTTTTCATATCCGAGTAAAGTTACATGTAGGTTTACTTGACAGATTAACAAACAATAGCCGTATAGTTTAATAGTTACTTTCAACTTTACTCAGAGGTGCAAAGACTGGCCCTTAATAAAGTATAATTAAATTATCATACTTTTATGAAACTTCGTTTGTCTTTTGTTAGAAACAAAAAAAAATGCTCAATGCATAGTTAGGTATAAAACACATGACTATTCTGTAGACCCTGGAACAAAAAACAAAATAATTACAACCGTAATTTGGAAATAAACAAATATAACCACAAAATAATAGTAATTTTTACCTTGAGACGTTTTTCGGTAACAATCGTTGATTTGACACACATACTTCCGATTTATTAAAGTCGCAGTTTTATTTAAACTTAATATTAAATAAGTACAATACACAATTAAAATTATGTTGATTTTTATAATTTGACAGCTTGATTAAAAAGTTGAAAACGTTGAGAAGATAGAATATGAAGTAGGTAGAGACGACATAAACACTATTTTGTGATATGTCGAGTGGAGGCACTTTGAGTCATATTTTGATTAATTTTATGTTAATAATTTTATATTTAAAGATTGACGGAATGAAAATGTTTTTATATAATTTAAATCACGCTATTTTAAAAAAATGGCATTTATTATCACCAAAACTGACTAGCTTGAGTTTGACATGTCGTAAAAGGGTAATGAATGTACTTTTAGTACCGTCATTACATCTCTATATTTATGATTTGAAAGATTCGTATTCTCGACCTACTTTGTGACGCCACTGTGTGCGTTGCGCAAAATTTAGGGATTATAAACAGGTCTATTGTTCATTTAACAGATCTTTTAACTAGTTGCATCTCTTTTTAGCTAGAGGCTTTCGCGAAAGCATATCACTCCCTTGGGCTCTCTTAGAAAAGTGAGCCAGAGCGCAGTGGCGTACCAAATATAGAAATTAACACGTATGAAAACAATACAATTATTAAAATTGAATTGAATTTTTATGTTATTTATTTTAAAATAATGTGTTTTTATAATATGTAACTGGGTGTTCACTGCACAAATGAACCAATGGAGAAACCTCCCCTGATCCGTGATAACTATGCACAGCTCTAAATTAAATCCAAACTGACACTTAAAAAGAAGATTTGTATGCTCTGACATGCATAATCTTTTCCAATGCCTACTATAGAAACATTTTTTGTGGATCACTCTGTATAAAAAAACATTGAACAAAAAATAATTTAAAAGTATATTTTAGAAGAGTATAGTTTAAATAAAGTTGTATTCTTTCAATAGGTTATTTATCTACTGCTACTTTGGAAGGTTTGAGTGAGGATATGCTTACTGATTGGAAAGCTCGTTTGGAATTAGTTTCTTCTTTGAAAACCAGTATACAAGAAAGACAAAGTTTACCCGTGTACAATAAAAAAGGAGAAATTATGGAAGCAATTAATGAGCATCCTGTCATTATCATTAGAGGAAATACTGGTTGTGGTAAGTAATACTTTATATAATTTAGAATTTTGGTTAATTTGTAATATTTTCCGAATTTCACTCTGGTTTTATGGGTATTCTTACTATTTAATTTTTCCAGGTAAAACAACACAAGTATGTCAGTTCATATTGGAGGATTATGTAATGTCGGGTCAGGGAGCTTGGTGCAACATCTGTGTCACTCAACCAAGACGTATTTCCGCTGTTTCTGTATCTGAAAGAGTAGCTAGTGAAAGATGTGAGGATCTAGCACAATCTGTAGGATATTCAGTTCGTTTCGAATCTGCTTTGCCAAAACCGTATGGATCAATCATGTTTTGTACAGTGGGGGTTCTTCTTAAAAAACTTGAAAATGGTCTCAGAGGAGTCAGTCATGTAATTGTTGATGAAATTCATGAAAGAGATGTCAATAGTGATTTCATAATGGTTGTTTTAAGAGACATGATTCACAATTATCCTGATCTCAGGGTAATTCTTATGTCCGCTACTATTGATACAACTTTATTCTCGAAATATTTCAATAATTGTCCAGTAATTGAAATTCCTGGTAGAGCTTTCCCTGTAAAACAATACTTTTTGGAAGATGCCATTGAATTGACGAAGTTTGTTCCACCTACGGATACAAGAAAAAGAAAAAGTAAAGGCGGCAATGATGATGAAGAAGATGGTACTGGAGTTGAAGATCCTGATGAAAATTTAAATAAGGTATTCATAAAAATCATGTTTATAGATGCCAAATTAACCTAGTATAATGTAATACAAAATTACATGATGTTTTACAAATGGCTGAGCCTTAGTTGATGACTCTTAATTTACCACTACCCATATACTGATAAAACCTTGAATTCTATCTATTAAAGCACCTACTTATTATTTTTCTACACTGATTTTTTTTTTTAGGTGGTAGTAGATGGAAACTATTCAGAATTAACTAAAAACGTTATGGCTAGACTAAATGAGAAAGAAATAAGCTTTGAACTTCTTGAAGCCCTTCTTGATTACATTAAAACTCAAAGTATACCGGGAGCAGTATTAGTTTTCCTTCCAGGTTGGAATTTGATTTTCGCCATGATGAAGCATCTCCAAAACCATCCAGTTTATGGTGGAACTCAGTATTTAATTTTACCATTGCACTCTCAGATACCAAGAGAAGATCAAAGAAGGGTGTTCCATCCTGTGGCAGATCATGTGACCAAAGTAATTTTGGCTACAAACATTGCTGAAACTTCCATTACAATAAATGACGTAGTGTTCGTAATTGACAGTTGCAAAGCCAAAATGAAAATGTTTACTTCTCACAATAACATGACTAGTTATGCTACTGTGTGGGCTTCTAGAACCAATTTAGAGCAAAGAAAAGGACGAGCCGGTCGAGTTAGGCCAGGTATTATAATTTTATTTTTAAAGGTGTGGAACAAAAAAAAATATAACAAAAAACTAATATTTTGTGCTCTCTATAATTTTTTATTTAAATAAAATTTATTTGTAAAAATGTAGCTACATTTTTCCTCTATTTTTTGTATGTACAAGCGATATGTTTACCCATCTTCCAATTACATATTTTTACATTTAATTTAAATTTATTTTACCAACTTCTTGAAATATTTTTTCTTTTATATAATAATATATGGTAACGACCAACGAATACTTTCTAATATCCCTTGGCACGAGTGCTTGTAAAAACTTCAGAGAGCCAGCACTAAAGCAAGCAGGAAAGAAACAAAACCAGCGATGCCAGTCTATACTGCCTGGCCGACGTTACAATGCGATCGGGTCGTAAAAATAGCAACGCTGTCACCATTAGGTTTCACGCTTGCTTCATTGCCAACTCTGTAGTTTTACACGCACCTATGCATGGCATATTGGAGGACTTTCGGTGGTCGATAGTGTATAGGTTTGTTTATATAGACAGTTTGCAATGGTTGTTGATTATTTTATAATGCTTAAGCGCCACTTCCAAGGGATTAATTTTTATAACTACTAACATATTTCCTAGAGTTACTGACTCTTAGTTTTCTATTATGATGAGTTAGATACAGCTATGGTGAAGGGATCCAAAAACAAAGAACATATTCTTATTGAAATTTGGCTTTGTTTTTTTTTACAAATTATTAAATATTCATTCTTTGCATTGATATAAAAACAATTTCACTTTTTTTTTTCTTTTGAGAATAATTGGGGATTTATCCAATCATTAAGTTGTTACGATGAACATAGATATTAATTGGAAACGTTCTTCAACGAAAACAAAATATTGAATGTGCATGCCAAATGTCAAATTATATTCATATTTGAAAGGAATGCATTATTTTCAGGAGTTATATGAGTACCTATAAAATAAAAAAAATGTTTACAGGTATATGTTTCCATTTGTGCTCAAAGGCAAGATTTGAAAAATTAGAAGAGCACATGACTCCAGAAATGTTTAGGACGCCATTGCACGAATTGGCTCTCAGTATAAAATTACTGAGGTTAGGATCTATAGGTCACTTTTTGAGTAAAGCCATTGAACCACCTCCATTGGATGCTGTGATCGAAGCTGAGGTTCTTTTAAGAGAAATGAAATGTCTAGACAAGAACGATGAATTGACACCTTTAGGTAGAATCATTGCTAAATTGCCCATAGAACCTAGATTGGGTAAAATGATGGTTCTGGGTTGTATTTTTATGTGTGGTGGTCCATTAGCTACCATGGCTGCAAATTCTTCTACATTCCCAGAAATTTTCACTCTGGATATGGGTCAGAGACGTTTAAGTTATCATCAGAAGGCTTTGGCTGGTGACAGACATTCTGATCATGTAGCAATGCTCACAGCATTTGAAGTTAGTAGTATTGTATTTTTTTAGACATACGTATTTAATTTTTGATTTTTTAATTGAAATAAAATTATTTTTATGATTTATATCTTTACAGCTCTGGGATCAGGCCAGACAAGGAGGAGAAGAAGCTGAATTAAGGTTCTGTGACTTTAAAGGCATCAGTATGCCAACTATGAGAGTGACTTGGGAAGCTAAACATCAACTTCAACAGATTTTAAATAATGTAGGTTTCCCTGAGGAGACCTTGGCCCCCCTACCAATGGAAACTGTCGGCCCTGATCCAAGATTGGATGTTGTAATGTCCCTTATGTGTTATGGGTTGTATCCAAATGTTTGTTATCACAAAGAAAAAAGAAAGGTAAAGTGGTTAGTCAATTTAAATGCCCTTTCTAAATATTCTTATTAATTTTAGGTATTAACTACAGAAAGTAAAGCAGCTCTTATTCACAAAACTTCTGTGAACTGCAGCAATATGGACCAAGGTTTTCCATATCCATTCTTTGTGTTTGGTGAGAAAATTAGAACACGAGCAGTTTCCTGTAAGCAGATGACAATGGTGACGCCTCTTCATTTGTTACTTTTTGGATCACGTAAAGTCGATTGGGTTGATAATGTAGTAAGGTTAGATAATTGGGTTAATTTAGACATGGATCCGGAAGTAGCTTCTATGATTGTAGCTCTAAGACCAGCACTAGAGAGTCTGGTAATCAGAGCTTCTCAGGAGCCTGAACAGATTTTGGAAATGGGACCTACAGATCTGAAAGTGAGTAACGCTTGAACTTTTAATTTTATGTAGATATTAATTTTTAAACTCTTAGAACATTTATTGCCATGCTCTGTCAGACTTAAATAATTTCTCTGATGACACCAAATCAATTGTTCGTGGAAAAGTTTCAATTCTTTTGTCAAGTTTACAAAACCTTTAGGGATTATAGAGGAACGATTTAAAAAAATATTGAATGGAAACCAATCCCTCCAAATAACAACTTGATGTTATTTACAAACCCCCCCCCCCCCATATCCATCTGAATAATCAAAGACTGAACCATCAAACCTTTGATTGTGGCATGACATTAAATACTTATTGAAATGGTCACATTTTTTCTGTTTTATATTATAGACACTATTCTAGGATAATTCAGTCTTTTAGAACTGAATTATTCAGATATTAAAAAGTATCTCTTATTATCTCAACATTAGTCTAGTAAAATTGAGAAAATTATAAATTCATTTTATTAAAATTTAAAATGTTGCACATATTTCTATGTATAGCCAGGTATATGTTGTAATGGTACCACCCCATTAGAGTCGATCCATTCCCATATCCTAAAGCTTTTAAGGTCGTGACTCTCGTATCCTTACAAAAATTAAAAAAAAAATACTTGATATCAAACAAAAATTAAAAAAATTAAAATAGTTTCTGGTTGACCATTTCCCCTTTCACCATCTCTCCATAACCTGCTTCAACTCCTACTTTTTCTTTTTTTACCTCCTGCAAGTCCAATCCCAAAACAAAATCAAATTTTTAAAAGCATATCCCATTACCATCATTCACACCCCTACTGCCTTTGCGAATAAGTTGTATACGTTTTTGACGCCAACACTACATACAGAACAGTAATATAACGTCAAAAGACAGAATCAGAACAATTTTTTTTTTATTTTAATTATAATCTCGCCGTATGTATTTCAAGTAATTTTAGGTGCTCAATGTAAAAAAAGTTTATCTAGGGTTAAGTAGAAGAAATAATCGAACATAAAAATAAACTTTGTCCTTTATTTTTATTTACGCCCAAGTATTGTAATTTGTTATTATTATTGGTTAGGTGCTGTGTATAATGATTTAAAGGGGCATTGGTTAAAACTTTTTTTAATCGCATTTGAAGCACGTGAGTTTAAGAACCTATTAAAAAAACAAATTTACTATCAAATAATATGAATAACAATTTAATTTAAATAAGATTTAAAAAAATTCTGAATACTAAATTTAAAAATCAAATGCTATACACTGGAACAGTCTTCAATGTCCAAATTCTCTGCGAAATCAAAGATAATCCTAGTTTGTTCTTCATCATACATTATAAGCTTTGTTCCATCATCTTGAATTAATCTTTCTGCATGATTCACCCAGTTGCCAAAACAGTCGGTGTCTTCTAGAGCTTCATTCCAAACTTTGTTAAACATTATTATTATTATTATTATTATTATTATTATTATTATTATTATTATTATTATTATTATTATTATTATTATTATTATTATTATTATTATTATTATTATTATTATTATTATTATTATTATTATTATTATTATTATTATTATTATTATTATTATTATTATTATTATTATTAATTATTATTATATTATTATTAAAATAAATAAGGACAGAGGTTAAGACATATGTGTCCATTTTAATGTGAACATACAAAAACTAAAATATAAGAAATACAGAGACAAAGTATAATTGCCGAGAAACATATCAAGTCTATTTTTAAACATATTAACGGATTCAGCGTCAACAGTAGCAGGTGACAAATTATTCCAAGTGGCAAAAACTCTATTTGGTAAGAAGTTTTGCCTTGTACTGATTTTAAAGTTTTCAATTTTTAACTTGAATTTGATGCCCATGTCCCTGCAGTATTGCGTCTACTACGTATCTAATTATTTAGTAGCTTATTCATGGGATGAAAATTCTCAACAGCTCTATTTTAGAAAGGACTTTGTCAAAACTTATTCTCCTACTTTGTAACTATTATTGTAACCTCGATTTAGTCCAAAAAGATTGAGTCATTTTTTCTAATGAATCTCCTATTATATTTAATCTTATATAAAAAATTCAGTCTTTCATAAGTGTGTTTACAAGAGGAGAAAAGGCGTTATTAATTTTAAGACGAAAAGTCATTTTTTATAAAAAAATCTCCTTTTTGAGAAAATAAGATTAATATCTAAAAAAACGTAAATCAGACTTATAGGGTGGTTGATAAATTATAAATTATTAAAAAAGTACCATTGTTTATAATTTAAAGCAAAATAATGAAAGTTATTTGTAATTGAAAATAAAACATAAAAGTAACACACCAAAAGAATTCTTTAGGCAATCATTTACGGAAATAATTTATAATAACAAATTTAAAAGAATTATATTTACGGATGCTTCTAAAGATCAATCCGGTGTAGGTAGAATAAAAAAAATCAATTCACACTTAATTTTCAATTTCAATCTTTATTTTATAAACATTTTCATGTTCTATTAATTTATTAACTCCCTATTATGTCTTATTTAATACTTTTATATAAGCAATTTTTTTTATAAACATCGTAAAATTAACGATTGTTAACTTTGAAGAAAAATTATTAATATGAAATCAGCTTCTCTCATCTAAAATAAATCTATTTGTGCATATCATAACCTCCAATACACAAATTCTTGAAAAAAAAAAAAAACTAAATTTTAGTCACATTTTAAATATTTCCAATTATAAGTTTTTTTTTTATGTTTGACATTTATGTTTTGTTAATTATTATTTTTTAAGGTTTGATATATTTTTAGGTGGTATCTACAATAAAAGAACTGTGCCGACTTCATGCTGGTAGTTTTGAATTAGAGAGGGCAAAACCCAGTTTGTTGGCTTCAAAAAGGCCACCCAGAGGTCACACACTTGGAAACTTTAATGGGCCTCCACCTAAGTTCTTTAGAGGTGGTGGAAGTGGTGGTGGTGGTGGTTACAGAGGAGGTAAGACTTTTTCTTCAATTGGTTAATTAGCTATAAATATTTATCTTGGTCCCATTAAATTTTAAAAATAAGCATTAAAGAAAAACTAATTAGCCACTAGAACGTTATTAATTATTATATTTTTAAAGGAGGTATTCTGATCTTCTAAAGAACTCATATCAAATGTTTTCTTTTATGTCTGTTCAAAGAAACTCCAAAATTTTTTTTACCCATTAAATGAATTAAGATATTTTTTAGGATTCCGAGGAGGATATAATAATGGAGGAGGTTATGGAGGAAGCCGCGGAGGAGGAGGTTATGGAGGAGGAGGAGGAGGTTACAGTGGCGGGCGCGGTGGTGGCGGATTTAGAGGTCGCGGCGGTGGGGGATTTAGAGGAAGTTTCAATTCGTAGGAATCTAAAAATGTGACGAAAATAATGAAAAACGTATATCATCGCTGTGGAATTACTTATTTCCATTATGTTTACCCAAAACTTTATTGGTATGCATTTACTGTTTGTAAATACCAATATAAAAGTACTTAGTTTGTAAGTATTTATTTTTATTTTATGTTAAGAGATTGGTTTGATCCAACATATGATTTTATGTTTTTGTATTTGTCAAGTCACTGTTAAAAACCTAGACTATTCTATTTACCTATAAGAAACAATATTTCAGGATATTTAGAAATTATATTTGTATTGATTCATTACAATACACACTTTTTAAATACTTAATAAAATTTAAAAGTAATGTTTTTTTACTCATTCCAAAAATTAAAAATCAACATTATTATTACATCTATCTTAATTTTTTTTATAAAATACTGCTTAAAAATCTACAGTATCAGATACTGTATAGAGCAAAAGAAAAGGCGATAGAAGTGCACATAACTAAGCAGTGTTTTTGGAAGTGCAAGGAACGTTTTACGATAATTTCCCATGCAATTTAAGGATTACCCTTTTTTTTTTAGCAAAATCCATTTTTTTTGGTGTAGCTATAAAATGAAACCAGAATGTAACCCTTTTATGTATGGTTAATAATTTTTGGCATTTAAGACCTTTTCCTAAATGGCGATCCCATGCATTTTAAATTGTCTTTTGATGTGTGCAACTGTACAAAATCTAATCTGATTCAGAGGCTCATTGAATACATTCGAATTTAGTATGTTCTGAGTGGGCTTTATAGCTATAACGTATTATACTTTAAAACCATGAAGGGATCAAATACCTGTTGATAAAAAAAATAATTGCGTTCCACATGAATCATGAACGTTCATGTGTACCTTATTGGGTAAATATAAAAAATAATTCGCTGTTATTAACTATATGATGTAAAATGAGTATCTGTGCTATTTAGATGTCCAGTACTTACTATAAGTACAAATTGATGCATATTTCGGCCCATACGTTGACTATGAATGGTGAGAAATTGAAAGATTCATTAGTCGACAGTTGTTGCAAAACTTTAGATTTCATGCTCAATTTTGGAATTGCTTTAACATTTGAAGGAACATAGATAAAATAGTAAAGTGATATATATGTTTTTTTTTTTTGTGTCATCGGCATCAACTGCTATGGTTATTAGCCTCGTGTTCTGTGTAGGCTTTGTTACTGTTTCCCAACGCCACTTTAGGAACAGCACTGTTAATTAGAACCCAACAGTGAATGGTCGAGTGGGGAATCCTACCAAGGCATCAGAATTAATTTTAAATAATTAAATTAAATGAAAAAATCCCGGCCAACGGTGGGATTCGATCCTGAGACCTTCCGATCTCAAAGTCATGACTCTAACCACTGAGCCAACCCACCCCCTATATGTTATTGACGGGAATTTAATTCTCTACAATTCTGTGGTCGGCACTTATTTTTTGGGTGCATCGTTGAAGAGTTATCCGGTCAATAAGAGCAAAATATGTGAGGCAAAAATGTTTTTTAAAACTTGATTGAGTAAAACTTTAAGCAAATTTAATAAGCTTTCATTGTATATTGAGTAGTCATGTCGCTAGGATGCATAGTTTACTAGATATAAGCGAAAGGCTACGGACGGGACTTTTGATATGTTCACCTCCTAACTAGTCACAAAGTTACGAAGTCAAAAATTGTGTTCCAAACATTTCCCTCTATACCTTTTCAATGCCTGGACTATACAGTGTTCAAATAAAAAAGGTCAAATTATTGGATTTTATTCAAATTTCAAGAAAAACAATCACAAATTATGTCAAAATGAATTTGCAGTTTTGCTGGTTGTCAAAATAAGAGCTCAGTTTTCTGTATAAAAACATGGACGTAAGAATATTCCAGTTAGTTTCATTTTCTAATCCAAATTTGACCTAATTGATTAAAAACGTCCAATAAATAAATGGAACTAAGGTTATGTAAATGCACAGGAACGACTGATAGGTTCCGACACCCGTCTGGGGAGCAAGTTAAGTTTTATGATATGTCTGGTATGGACGACATTTGCTTAAATAATATTTATTATTATTATTATTTCCTTTATTTAGCTAGTTTGCTAATATCACAATATACAAATTTAGTAAAAATATACATATAAGTCAAAACATAGATAATTTAGATACAATTAAAACTAACTAAAATTCTATAGGTTGTTACTGTTTCTGGAGAAATATTCATCAATTAAGAAATCTGTCACTTTGACTTTAAATGTAGTTACAGACGTTACTGATTTAATTTTCTCTGGAAGTGCGTTATATTGATTTATATCTTTAAAAAATAGTGAATTTTGTGTTGCACTCTTAACAACTGTTTCAATATAAAAGTTATTTCTGTTCCGCATTGGATAATTGTGCACATTAGAGTAATAATTAAGCTTCTCTTTTAGGTACATTGGAAGTAACCCGTATTTGATTTTATAAATAAAAATTAACGCATTCCGTAATAAGATACTTTTGATAGGCATCCACCTCAAAGTTTCAAGCATTAGATTAATGGAAGTATATTTTGTTCAACTCAACTTTGATTTAGTAAAAAGTATTGTAGAGCAATAATTAAAGTGAGGTAGAATTTATAGTATTATATAATACATTTAGTCCACTGTGATAAGCCAAATGAACTTTTAAATAGGAAATTTAACTTAAATGCAATAGTTTTGATAACAGTGTTGGCATGATCTATGAATCTCATCTGCTTGTCAATCATTACCCCTAAGTATTTGAATTTTTCTACTAACTGTATAGAATTTCCTCCAATTGTTATGTTATATTGTTTATCAACAAACTGTATAGTTATAGTTGCTACTTATCAGCATACATTTTGTTTTATTTGTGTTAATTTTCAACAATTATTGCAACACCATTTATAAACATGTTGCAGTGTTTCATTAACAACTCTTACCAAGTTATCTGAATCCTTATAAGAAAAATATATTAGGGCATCATCAGCAAACAGGTGAATGTCACATTGACCCTTGAAATCAACAATGTCATTGATATACACTAAAAACAACAGGGGACCCAATATACTTCCCTGCGGAACACCTCCGATATAGTTAATTTCCTCTGACAAAATGTTGATTACTTTTAACTTTTGTTTCCTCTTACTTAGATAATCAATCCACACATCACTCCAATGCTTGCTCTACTATACCCATAACTTTTCAATTTTTTTATCAAACAGTCTCGAATGCCCTTTAAAGATCTATAAGAACTGCCAATGTTAGATAGTTTTTATCAAATTTATATTTCCAATCATATAAAACACACTGGATAGCTGATTCACAGTTATGTTTGCTTGTGAAGCCTGATTGTATTCTAGTAATAAGTTTATTTTGTTCTAAAAAAAATTAACAATTAGTTCATAAACGACATTCTCAATGATTTTTTCGATACAACTTAACATACTAATAGGCCTTAGGGGGCGTCCATTAATTACGTGAGGCGTTCAAAGGGGGAGGGGATCGAGCTAAATCTTTCCAAATCTTATTTGGGGGAGAGGGGGGTCTTTGTAAATCTGACGTAATTTTTTTTCTAGTAGAAAACGGTGTATAATTGCGTGAAAGTAAAGAATGTTTATATTACGGCAATATTCTTAAATACTAGTCTTTGCTAGTTTTAAATAAAAGTAATAGAACATTATTGTGTTTTTTTTTTTAATAATCCAACGCATTTACACCCAAAACACAAGTTTTGAAAAATCGCACGTGAGATTAGGGGAGGGAGGAGGGAGTTGAGAAAAATCTTACGAAATCTCACCAGTGGGGGAGGGGCGGTCAAAAAATGCTCAAAAATACCTCACGTAATTAATGGACGTCCCCTTAAATCTGTAGCTTTATTTGCGGTTTTTGTCTTTGGAACAGGCACTACCATAGCAATTTTTAGAGCATTAGGTATTTTTGAAATTTCTAATGACGAATTTATCAAATTTAAAAGTGGTTCTGAGAGGTTGGGAAAACAGTTTTTTAAAATATTAATATCTATGCTACTTTTATTTTTCATTGCAAAAAGAATGTCTCTTAGGGCCGATTCCACCGTTGTGTTAAACGGAGATTAAAATGAGATTGTTAATGTAAAGAAGTTTAAAATGAAATTTTTACATTAATAATGTCATTTTAATCTCCGTTTAACGAAGTTTAAAATGACATTTTTACATTAACAATGTCATTTTAATCTCCGTTTAACACAACGGTGGAATCGGCCCCTAAAGAATCCACCATACATAGTTGAAATTTTCCAAGAAAATGTCCATTGTGTCTGTCTGAAATTTGATAATCTCTAATTATCATCAATCATACTAGCAATCGATTGGATACTGTCTGTAAAATTTATTAAGAGCATTTGGCATGTCAAAAATATTTTTATAATATTATTTTCTAGTTCAAGTTCAATTAAGTTATTCGACTTATTATTTTTTGAAATCTGACATTCAAGATATTTCCACATTTCCTTTGAATTTCCCCTACTTTCGTAAATATTTTTCTCTGTGTTTACTTTTTTCTGTTCTAATTACGTTAACGGCCCTATTTCTATGCATTTTGTATTCATTCCAATTATTTTGTTTTTTCTTGTAAATAATTTTTATATGCAAGGTCTCTGTACCTTGTGGCAGCTTTTACATTTTCATTCCACCATTTTTTGTATTTAGGAAACATTTTTATTTGTTTTTTTGGGCGCTACAGAATCTAATACGTTTAAAATACTTGTTACAAAATTATCATATTTTGCATCAATGTCATAAATATGATAGTGCCATGCTAATGTTGAAAGTTTGTTATTAATTAAATCAAAATTTAAGTCCTTGCCTCTGCTTTCAATTTCAAAAACAGATCGCCCATCACTATTTAATAGCACATTTGTTAAAAGCATAAAATGATCTGAAATTCTTGGTGTTTTGATAACCTCAGCTGAAACCGAGTCATTATTTGTTATAACTAAATCTATTAGTGTACCTCCACCACGTATATTTGGTCTTGTGCATTCTGTAACAATATTTTTTAATCCAGTATCAATCAAAATATCACTTAATTTCGCACTGTAAGTGTTTTTAGTTAACAGGTCAATATTAAAATCTCCAAAAAAATTTGAGAATTATCACATACATTTTATCAGTGCTAAAACAATCTAAAAAATTTATACAGCTACTGCTAGGTGACCTATATAAAGATACAATTAAAAAAAATTTGTTTCCTAATATTATCATCACAGAAACAATCCAACAAATTTTTGGAATACAAAATTGTGTCTACTTTCACTGTCAACTCTATAATGTTTGTATCTGTCAATGTCTTATTTC